TGGCCTCTACTTAAAATGTTTATCAAGGTAACTTCAATTCCAACAATCTGACAGATTAAATTGCAAAATACAAAATACTGCAGATGCTGGAAATCTGAAACAAAAACAGAAGTTGCTGGGAACACTCAGCAGATCAGGCAGCATCTATGGAGAAAGGAAAGTGAGACAAAGTTTTGAGTCCACGACCGTTTGTCAGAACTAAGAAATGTTGGGAGGGAGAGGTTTTTAAGAACTAACAGAGAGGGGGAAGGCAGGGCAAGGAAGACAAAGGAGAAAATGGGGTAGAAGACAGGGGATGATGGGTTAAAGAGGTGTTAATAATCCAAAACAAAGGGGGGGGGGGAATTACAACAAAACAGGCAGACCACAGAGAGAAAAGGTGTGTCTGGGACCCATCTGATGTGGTAATGGTCACAGAAGAGGGGGAGGGGGAAGGTGAGCTGTTATGGTCTGAAATTATTGAAATCAATATTGAGGCCAGTGGGCTATAACATCCCCAGCAGATGGATGAGACGCTGTTCCTCAAGCTTGCGCTGTGGCTCATTGGAACAGCGTAGGAGACCATGGATGGAGAGGTCACAATGCAAGTGGCAGGGAGAGTTGAAGTGGCAAGAAACCGGAAGCTCAGCTTTGTGCTTTCGGACAGAACGGAGGTGTTCGGCAAATCGGTCACCCAATCTGTGTTTGGTCTACCCAATGTGGAGGAGACCACATCGTGAGCAACGAATGCAGTAAACTACATTGGTGGTAGTACACGTAAATCGTTGTCTCACTTGAAAACTGTGTTTGGGGCCCTGGACAGTGGTATGGGAGGATGTGAAAGGGCAGGTATTGCATCTCCTGCGCTGGCAAGCTGTGTTGTTCTGGGGAGTAAGTGCACACTCCATACCAGACAAATGGAAATTTCTCTACATATGCAGAATCCTCAATTGTGTCAAGACACCTGGCTGACCAAAACAAACAAAGGTAACCTTATGCTGATAATGCTGAGAAAGATAGCATGCAGTTTTCTTATTTGCTTTATGAGTGAAGAGCTCACAACTTTAGCCATCACTATCAAAAGCCTGACAACAATGAAGGAAAGAAAAAGAATGGAGGAATAATGCATTCAAATGCCTCTAGGAATTTGTTTGCACCATGCGACAGTGGTAATACCCATCAGTAACATAAATCAGTAAGGCTGAAAAATGTGCAGGCTAATAATAATCATTATAAATTCAAGGAATTTGTCTGATATTAATCTATGTTTGATAGACTGGCAAAGGTCAAGTGCACACTCTATCAAACTGACATTTGCTAAGGGCTGCAACCAGCGTCCTGTTTGTTTTACCTGGTAATGGTGGTTAGAAAAACGGTGGTTTCATTACAGAATAAATGAACTTCTTCTTTGTACTTCAAAGATAAGTATAGAAGTATAGGAAATGTGTCAGGAACGGAAAATGGTAAAAACCCATCTTAAAATGCAGAAAAGTATCATTTACTCTCCATCATCTCTGGTTAACCACAAGACCACTGTTATTTAACTGACACAAAAGATGGGTTTCACAAACACGATAGTGAAAATGCAGATTAAAAGCTTAGTGTATCCCACAATCCCTTCACCTTGCTCCCTCCCTTGCCTTCTTCAAAGCATGACTCAAGACCTTCCTTTTTGACCGTTGCCTTCAGCCGCTCTGCTACCTCTCTGCCCTCCCTCATCCCAACCCTGCTTACCCCCCACCCCAACGCACGGGTCCTGCTCCCGAGCTGTTCAGCGCCTTGGGACGTTCTCGCTTATAAATGTAAATTTGTTGTTGTATTGTATCAATGGTTGCAAAAGTCTATTCCAAGATAATCTTGGAGGCAAAGGATAACCCCAGGTTTCTCTTTTCCACTACCAACTGGCCCCTCCGTCCACCCTCTCACGCCTCGCCCATCCTCTCCTCCAACTCCAACTGCGAGGAGATGCTGGATTTCCTCGAGACCAAGATTGAGGGGATCCGTTCAGCTGCCTTCAGGTTGGGAGGCAAGGTGTCTGCAGCAATAATGATACGTATTAGTTTTCTGACATTGTAGTTGATTAGTTTGGGGATCAGGTAACATCAATGTAAATTTTCCCCAAGCCATAAAAGAGGTTTGAAGATATCTTGTACATGGTCTGTGAAATGAATGGACTTGAAAATGACACATTATCTTTCTTATCCTATGCTTTATGGTGTTCATTAGCAGAAACATACCAAAGTAGTATTGTCAATGGTTGTGGGATTCTGAGTATTTACATCTTCAGATGGAACAGAAATTGTCAAAACGCTTGTTACAATGAGTCGATGTCAAGTCAATATTACCAGTAAAAGCATTCTTACTGCAACATATTGCTGGCTGTCAGACCTCCTAAATTAGTACCTTCAAAAAAANGAAGAGACTGGTCTGCCCTTCCAGATCCTGCCGATGTGCCAGGCTGGCTGTGCTGTCATCATCGGTGCCCTGGAATACTGTGGATCCGCCTGGCTCAGGAACCGAATTACTGAGATCGCCAGAGGGCTGGGTCGTTTCTGACATTCCATTAGCTCCGAGGAGATCTCGCTTACAAGAATGATATTGTGGTGAAGGGGAAAGAGACTAAAGTGTACGTGAAAGACTAATTAACTTGGTGCTGTATTCTCTGTAGCTAATGAGGCAGAGAGGTTATTTGATTGAAGTGGTTTGAGTTATTGAAGAACTTGTCTACTGGTCCAATTCTAGACAACATATACTTATTCAAACAAAAACATGCATTTATAAAGCACCCTTCATGCGGGGTGACATCCAGAGCACTTAACAATAACAGAGTTTAATGCCGAGTTGGGGAGAAAGGTCAAAGAGGAAAGTCTTCAAGTAGAACCTGAAGGCAGGCAAAAGACAGGCAAGATGGAGAGAATGCAGCAGGATGGTTCAGAGTTTGGAAGCATAGTGGCTGAAAGCATGGCCACCGATGGTAAAGGGGAAAAGGGATGTGCAGAAGGGCGAGCAGAGAAGAGAGGTGTGAGCAGGATACAAATGTCCAGTTAATGAGAATGTATACAATCATTGTGCCCAGTAAAATTAATAAAATATATGCAATGTTTATTACAAGATATAAAGTGGACTCTAAGTGCCTGAGCATTTCTACCTGGACAACAATACCTGGACAACTCAGTTGCTCCAGCAAAAAAGCTCTGGACTCGCATTGTATATCCTTGGGTTGGATTGTCCAAATTCATTTACATTGTAGCCAAGTAACCAGTTTTAGACAACTATCAAGTACTAGCCAGACCCACACATCTGCTATTTGGTAATATACATCATCGCTGATAAAAATGGAGCAATCCATGGCTCAAAACCATCTCCACTCTAAAGGAATGGAGCATGGAGACAAACGCTAGTTGAATATAGGGGTGGGAGGATTAAAAATAAATATTACAGATATGAACAGACTATAAATTATAATTGACATAATTAAAATAGTAATACTTTGCAGATGATTAAAACACAGCAGTAAAGACAGATGGTTAGACGGTAGGCAAAGAAGGATTACAAAGAATAACCATCAGCCTTTGTAGGTTGTCAAGATGTCCAAGAATAAATTAGTTGTAACACAATGAAATATTACATAAGGAAGACAAGTACAACACGCAATGGAATTGTTCATTTTTGTTTTAAGTATGTAAAGATGAGTACAGGATCTAGGAATTCCCATTAAATCACAATACACTCCTGTCACCGTAATTGCTAAACAAACAGCATCATATGAAAATCAGTCAATTCTTTTCTTCACTGCTTGGTGCTGCTGGGAAATAATTGCTACTTACTTGTAACTTTACTACACTGTTGGTGAATGAATCTGCTATGTTGACCATTAAGAAATGCATAGATACATAGGTGCATAGAAAGACTGATTATAAATAAAGGCCCAGTGGCCCATCAACTCTGTGTATAGAAATATCGAGCATATAGCAAGATAAATTATTATATTCTGCTAAACCAAATGTGCATGAAACTCATGATGAGAGCCCTGAAAATAAAAATATTATTTTGCAGTTTATTGAGTACAGCAACAACCAAACAATAGGGATCAAGTTATTTTTATTAACTAAGACATACACACTGGGCAACATAATAATCATCTAATCTCACACAAAGTCCATTTACTCTATATTCGCCATGCTTTTGCTGACAATAATTTATTGAAAATTAATATTACTTTCAGTAAACCAGTATAGTAAGAGGCTTTTTTCTTTGAAAAAAAGGCTCCTTCATTGATTTATCTAATTATATCAGCTATGTAATTTTCAGACAAAATGCACATTTTTCAAGAATTGAAATGAAGCATTGTACTTATAATTTGGGAAACTATTGTTTTACTGCAAGGCAATAACAGGCTATTTAAAATTAGAAAATAAAGAAGTTAAACCCTTTGAGGCTTTTAATGAATGAAGGTAGTTACAGCAAACATTATTTTGATTGGTGATTTTTTGATGTAAATATGGTTAAATTCATCAAAAAGATCTGACAATATTTCTGCACATTTTTAAAACAGTATGATGGTGTGCAAGGAATTTGGAATATATTAATGTAAACTCTGTAGAATCCATGAATGAAGAGGAACTCCTTCATATAAGTGCCTCGCTTTTGTTTCCATTGGACCCATGTTAACCCGTGCACTTGGCTCTTTTCTGGCATTAACCCTTGAATGTAATTTAATACTTTTATTTAATTACATTTTACATGTTACCAAATCAAACAATAATACTGCTGTTATCATGCTTCTTTACAGATTTGGTAACAGGTAAAATTTGTGAAATTCAGTTTCTCATATAGTACTGAAACCTTTTCTTTGCTAGGTGACTAACTATAGTATTTAAAGATATGACTGTTGAATTTGCTTTCTCCCAGTTACCATACATAATTCCATTACAACTTTGTTTAAACCTACACAATTTTTTGTTAAAAAAGCTGCTAATTGTTCCATAATTTTAAAATATTCAATATATAATGCTACTTACCAGCTCACTGCCAGCTCATGCAGTTTCAGAGTCTTGGTCATTCTGCATTCTCCTGATCTAAGCAAATTATTAGGTTTTCTTTTCATCTGAGCAAGGTAAGGGTTTACTCTTGTGTCACGAGGAAATTCAGAGTCCTAAGAGTAAAAATAAATTGGGTTTCTGTAATGTCTGGATTAACATAATGAATAAATTGCTTCAGCCACAGTATAATTAATCCATTATGGCTCCAAGGTTCTTGGGAACAAGAAGAGGCCATTCAGTTTGTCAAGTCTGCTCCTCCAGGTAGATCATGACAGATTTTTAAATTACATTTCCCTGACTTTTCCCAATGTCCTTCAATAAACCTACTTCCTAAGTATCTATCTATCCATTGTGCCAACTAATTCTCATAATGGGTCTATACAACGAACAGCAGATTATATGAAGAACTTGCTAGCCACACACAGATATTGCCAGTTCTGAACATCAAGTATTGTCTCCAAGATGCATTGTTAAAACCACATAATCCAGCACTCCTCAGGTGCACTAGCTGCAAAACCACTGCTGGAGAAACTATTTTGACCTTTTTTTTGTCTTGAGACATTTAATGAAGTCCTGTAGCTCAATGGTTAGAGCGCTTCCTTCACAAGCGAGAGACCTTGGTTCGATTCCCGGCAGGGTAAAACCTTGAGCAAGTTTCCTTATTCCACATGCCTGATAATAATCTCTCAAGAAAAAAAACAATAATAAATTGGCCACTTCAATCCATGACTGTTTGTGGAACACTGCTGCGTGCAATTGGCTGCCGTGTTTCACCCACAAATATACAGTTAATTTGACCCATGTTTCACAAAACAATGCTAATCTGTTTATAATTATCTATGAATAAAAAGTAACAATAGTAATTTATCTCTAAACACTTTTTAAAATGCTCTATATAAAAAAAACACTTTTTAAAAATTATGTATAGTAATTTTAAAACCATACTTCAAAATTCAAGCAAATAATCACCAATTCTAAAAACTACTGAACAAGATAATATCCTTGCATTTGATATTGCACCTTATCACATCGTTGAAACAGCTAATTGCATTGAATCCTGTCAGATAATGTTCCACTTAGTTCTTATCAGTATCAATTGTTCAACCCCAATTAGTTCTAATAATGCAGTCCAGAATGTTCAACAATTAAGAATAAACTACAGGTTCTTCAAATTAGTATCCTAGATTTGCAATCAGAAACTAGATTACAGAGACCAAGAAGATACTGAGTAAACCTAAAAGTAAAGTCCTATGGATTTTAGTCAGTAAGTTACTTGCAAATAAAACACTTTCTTATTTAACTAACGGGTTCTGAGAAGGATGATGTCTTGGTTTTTGGTTTATTAAAATAAGCATTTTTAATTTTTTCAATGGAAATGGGTGAAAAATGCAGCTTTAGGCACATTTCAGCTTTGTTTTTCGTAACAATGAACAGCATGAAAGAAATGTCCTTAGAAGGAAAAAAAATCCTGTAAACTAAAATTTCATTTAGTACAGCAGCACATGGTTCATAACACCCATATTAGTGGTTAAAAATACCGGCAGCTTTGTATTGTGAAAGTCAACTTTCAAATAAATATGAAACATTATGTGGCTAACCAATTTATAAAGATAGATTGCCTACCATATTAACCATCTTCATTCAATAAACATCCTATAGATTTTAAACGGTCTGACAGAATACGATTCAAATACAAGGGAACTAACAAAAAAGGGATGATATCGCTTTAAGATATGTGGATCATACTACAGGTATACACAAGAGAAGTTGAGAAATAGTCCTTCGGACAATTTCATCTGCAATACAAACCTTACCATCTTCCTATGGCAACATCAAGCAGTTTCTTAAATCAGCCCAAATCTGCACCCTTCAATCTTCCCGGTAACCCAAACTAGCTGTTGATTACCTACTGTGTATCCGAGAGTTGAAGGAATAATATCTAAATTGTGGATCATGCTAAATTAGAAGATTTTGTTAAGGGTGCTGAAGAGTGCTGGAAGCTCAGTAAGATATTGACAGAGTGGACAGTTTTGTGGAAAATTGAATTAATGTAGAAACATGAAGTGGTGCACTTTGGGAGAAAGAATAGGGAGCAGAGTTTTGATAGAGTTCTCAATGGAGTGGGGGAACAAATACATAGTTCATTAAACATGGGATGGCAGTATCCCTGGGAGTTTTAAATGTAATTAAATATTTGATGTAATCTTTGCCCAGACTATTTACAATATCACATTTTGATAATGTCACAACATTAGAAACAAACATTTGAGTCAAGCCTTGGTCTGCCTACAGTTAATTTTCAGACAATCTGGGATTAGGAAGATAATCATAATAATAATCCTTGCATTTGATATAATGCCTTATCATGTCATTGAGATGTCTCAAAGCGCTTCACAGAATACACTGTTAAGTGTACTGTTTGTGGAGTCCTGTAGCTCAGTGGTTAGAGCACTCGCTTTGCAAGCGAGAGACCTGAGTTCAATTCCAGGCAGAGGGCGAAACCTTGGCCAAGTTTCCTTACTCCACACACCTAATAATAATCCCTCCAAAACCCAAAACAATAATAAATTGGTCATTTTCAATCTACGACTGTTTGTGGGACATTGCTGTGCACAATTGGCTGCTGCGTTCGCCCACAAATATACAGTCAATTCACTTTACAGTGTGTTCTGTGAAGCACTTTGGGACGTCCTCCCGACGTGAAAAGCGCTATATCAAATGCAAGGATTATTATTATTATTATTAAGTGGATTGACTGTGTATTTTATGGACGAAACGCAGCAGTGTTCCACAAACAAATCATGGATTGACAACAACCATCAAATCGAACAGAAACTCCTTCAAGATTGAAATGGGGGAATGATTCAAACATTCAAAGAATCAAGGTGACTCCAGGTTAATAACAATAATAATAATAATTAAATTCATGTACCAAATAAAACATTGTAATGGCGTAGTATTGAATTTATTTCCAATTCAGCGAGGCTTCATATAATTGTAAAATGACTATGACACAGTAAAATACGAGAAGATTTAGTTTGTCAAAAATACCAGTTTAATAAAAAGCGAATTGGTTCCAATTATTTTCAAATAGCAATCCAATTAAATCCAAATAATTTCAAAAATTTCTAATAGTTATAAAACTATTCTGCTACTTTTATTGGTTCTTGCATTTATTAAGCGAGTAGCTTCATGTTTTCATTGATACTTAAATTCAGACAGTTTTCAAAGGTATTGCATTCAACAACAACAACAAGATTCCATTTATAGAGCGCATTCAAATTGTCTTACAGATTTACGAATAACGTTGTAGGTTGGGAAATATCAATAACGAGTCATCAAAAGTAAAAATGTAACTTTTTTTAACAAAACAGTTGTATAAAAAATTATTGTTTATCATATAAACAATAATAATAATCTTTGCATTTGATATAGCGCCTTATTATGTCTTTTGAGATATCTCAAAATACTTCACAGAATATACTGTAAAGTGAATTGCCTGTATACTTCGAGAGTGAAACGTGGCAGTGAATTGCGCATAGCAGTGTCCCACAAACAGTCATGGATTGAAGTTACCAATTTATTATTTATTTTTTTGAAGGAATTATTACCCCCAGAGAAGTGATCCGCCAATTGACTGACAACTGGGTTCCTGCTTACTGCTAGGTAAACAGAGGTGTGTGGAGCAAGGAAACTTGACCAACATTTCACTCTGCCAGGAATCAAACCCAGGGCTCTCGCAGGAATAAAATACACTTTGTTGAGCTCACCTTTGAATGCTTTTGCTCAACTGTTTTTTGTGGCTTTTTAGGTAATTCTCTTGAATCGTTGGATGGTTCATCATTCTTTTGCCCTCTTATTTCATTAACTGTTTTCTGGGTGCAGGCAAATGTTTTGCATTCTCTGTAGGTCTTGTAACCTGTTTGAAATAGGTTACTTAAGTCATAATGATTTCTCATTGGGCTAAACACAGTAATAGCATAGTACAACAAGTACTGAATTATGTTACTTAGATTGAAATTGTAGGATAAGACTTAAAAATTATGTTTTCAATATAAATTACTATTAAACTAGAATGTATGGTTCACAAAACTCCTGTAATGGCTGTTTCATTCTATGTGACAGTCTAATTTAAACAATAATCAAAATACCATAAATGGGCATGGAAATATCATCACAGCTTAATATCCACCATATATAATAATCATTCTTGATATCGCACATAAAACATCAAAACCTCTCAAAGTGCTTCTTACAGGTAACTGTAGTAAATGTAATTGACTACAGTAAGGTCAATTTGCACAGAGCAATGTTCCATATACATTGTGTAAGTGAGTGAGTGAGCGAGCGGACTGACCAACCAATTTTTTGGGGGGGAATTGTTGGTCAGGTCTCCGGGAGAAACTCCCTTCTCTTTTCAAATAATGGCATGGGATCTTTAACATCCATCTGAACTGGTAGATGGGTCCTAGGTTTAACATCTCATCTGAAGAAAGACCACCTCCAGATGTGCAATGATACCCCAGAATGCACTTGAGTGTCAGCCTAGGCTATGAGTTCAAAGTCTCAATATGGGGCAGAAGGGAACTGCATAAACACTCCTTATTTTTACAATGATTTGGTATTGATTTTGTATTTGCTAAATTCCAGGAAATTCCCAGCAATTGTCAACAATAATAATAATAAAAATACTTACTTTTGGTTTAGCACCTCTAATGTTGGGGGGATGTCTCAAAGCGCATCACATAATGCACTGTAAAGTGTAGTGACTGTGTATTTTGTGGGTGAATAAAATATTTATCTTTCCATATTGCTGATTAATTTTATCATTGTAACTTCTGTTTCATCATTTTAGTATGGTGCAAATCCAATGACTCACATAATTAAAAGATCCCACCTGTTATTCTGGATCATGCCAATTTCATCTGCAAATTCTATATTACTGTGAATTTGATCAAGAAGTGCATTAATCATTCTATGTTAAATTCAATAGTTTCAAGATTTACATTTCAGCTACATCAAAAATAATTTCATACTATCAGACAAATACAATAGCTACATCCGCAATACTTTCCTATTGACAGTCAGATAAATCCTAAATAATCGATATTAAAGCATTCTTCATCCAAATTCTCATGTGATCTTGTGACATTTGATAATAAACAGGATGTCAATGGTTTTACTGCTTCTTTTTAACCAAAATTTGAAATAATTGTTAGCTCATTCAATACATACCTACAAAATACAGTCAAACCACTTTACAGAACATCTTGTGAAGCACTTTGAGATGTCGTAATAAGGCACTATATCAAATGCAAGTACTATTATTATTATAATTATTATTACCTGAAATCAGAGGGATGATATTATCTTGTCCACAATTCATAGTGCGCAAAGTGGCTTGCAACCCTGACAACTGTAAATAAAAAATATAAATTTTAACTTTTTTTTTTACAGAGTACACACAAAGTGACATTTCCAAATAATTAAAGTAAAACGTTTTGTACTCATTTAGAATGGCAGCATCACACTGCATATTAGAACAACGAAGCACAAAATTGTGAAAAACTATTTAGTGGTAATTGTTTATTTACAGAATTCCAAATCTACCCTATACCTTTAAAATAAACAAACTGTAAATATGGCTTTTTCTACATGAAGCACAGATTCAATATTCTACTTATTGTCATTTCTTATTTAAACTCGACATACTGTAAATGGGGATAAAATATTTTTTGTGCTACAGCACAAATATTGCATCACAGCAACAACTTGCATTTTAAAAATATATAAAGCACCCTTCACGTGGGGTGATGTCCCAGAGTGCTTAGCTTCACTGTGGGGTACAAAGAAAGCAGAAAATCTAGTTTTCCTTCTTTCAAACAGGTACAATTACAAACCTGTCCAACAGCTCTGTCTTTTTCCAAACTGGTCAGCATTTTCTGCTTCAATGCATTATGATACTTATTTGTAAGTTCACTCAGAGTAGGTTCATAGGATGCATAGTGTTTTTTCAATCTAAACAAACAGAAACAGATCCTAGTTATAGTTATAGTTTACATGTGTACAATATCAAATGTGATCCAAATTTTTAGTTCACAACAACTATTGTCATCTTTTCTCACAAGTGATTTTGCAATATAGCTTACCTTGACCACACTGTTCACATTATTAAGTGATATGGAGGAGGGTGCATTAAAGTAATATTAACATTTGCTGAAGATACCAAGCTATCAGCCAGATAACCAGCATAAAGTAAACTGACAAAATTCAAAGCAGTCATAATTAGTAACTTAAATGCAGGAATGTCAATTGGATAGTAAAGTGGAAAAAATAATATTAGCACAGTGAATTGGGTGCGTGTAATAGAGGAGTATCTAAATGAAAAGGGAATTGGAGAAAGAGATGACGCATTCGATTACTTATCTTTCAGTCAAGTATGTTGTCAATGTGAAACTTTTAAGAAGTTTAATGAAATACCAGTATGGTCTTAAAACATTAATTACATATTGAAATAAATGTACAAAGTGTTGATAACATCATACCACTAATATTGAATAAATTCTGGATATTTTAACTAATTAAAATTCTAACAGAATCATAATGAGTTTAGAATCAAACAATAACAGAAATGATTTGGCCTATGCTACAGGAGGCAATTTGGCTCAGGAGGCTGTTTTGCACAAATATCAGGACTACTTTCTTTGGAGCTAAGAAAGTTCTGATCTCAATTGCCTTATTTTTCCCTGTTTCATTGTGCATAAATTTAGTGATAAATAAAAGCAAGAAGGAAATGTTGATAGAAATATTAGAAAATGATTTAACTGTGATGACAGTTTCAGATGAGAAAAATATTTCCCTTACTTCCCATCCAAAAGCGCTAGCTTTTGAAGAATGCTCTTCACAAAAGTCAAATAATGTTTTCGTGATTGACTTTTCCCTTACAATGTTGAATAAATAGGTTGAAATCAATTGAAAGGTGGCGGCTGATCAAATATTAAATCTTACACTAGGGTTCCTATGCTTTTTTTGTCTGTGGAAATGCCAATAATTGAAAGCAATCACTATCAACAAACATTAAAAGCTAGATATATTCTAGAGTTGTGTTCAATCATCTTGGGAATTAGTTCAAGTAAGCTTGGTAGTTTGATTAAACGAATTATGCATGGTTTTGAAAGGAACAGGTCTTTTATCATTCTATGTCTATATTCTTCTATTAAAATTCATAGTGAGGTTACAGATGACTGACTAATAATCTCAAAAAAGTTGCTAAATGTCATTCCCATGATGCAGTGGATATGAAATAGTGGAACAGATTCAGAACAGACTTAGGAGGCAGTTTTTCACCCAAAGGATAGCGGAAATCTGGATCTCTCCCCCAGAAGGCTGTGGATGCTGGATCCATTCACATCTTTAAGACTGAGGTGGATATCTATTTGATAGGTCAGGATACCAAGGATACAGGGCAAGGGTGGGTAATTGGACCTGAGGTACAGATCAGCCATGATCTTATAGAATAGCAGAACAGGCTCGAGGGGCTGAATGGCCTATACCTGCTTCTATGTTTCTACAACACAAATAGTGTGCAGCAGTAACCTTGAACATTAAGTCTAATGTAACAATTCTAGATTGGTCTTGCATTTAGAAAATGTATTCACTATATCAATAAATATAATATGTATTTGTAAAATGCCACTGAAACATACAACAGAAACAATTTGCACTTTTATATTAACTTTCACATAGGAAAATACATCACAGTGATTCACAGGCAACATGAAAGGTCAAGCAGGGTGGAAGATTCTGGAAGGAGGAACTGACTGAAAGCCATTATAAAATATTTTCCTTACCTTTTAATATCATTAATGAGTTTATTCTTTTCTTGTGCCACCCGTTTGTGATGCATTCTATGAAAATCACGTTCTTTCCTAAGTTTTATTAATATTTCACCAGCTTTACTGCACACAAACAAATTAGTTAGAATTAATTGCTAAAAAGGTGAGAATAATTTGCACACGCATTATTCTTCGTGAGAATGATATTTGGATTTTGGCTAGAAAACATTATTTTCTACATACTGGGATGCTGCCTTGTAATTTTCTAACTCTTTCTTCAAACTTGCGATCCTATTGTCTAGAAGCTGGTTGTGAGTATAAACATCAGGAACAAATCCCATATCATCAATGTTCAAAATGCCTCTTTGCAGCATTTCATACCTGACAACAAAACACAGAATTTATTATACTTAAACAAATCTCATTAAACTATATTTTTGACTAAAATAAATCCTAAAATAGTTCCAATATATGCCGTTTTATTTCATTTTCATCCCAGTGACCCATTTCTTCACTTCACCATTGTCTTCCTTTAAATCCTCTTTCTTACAACTGCCACCTACCTCTACATAGCTTTATTTTTAAAAAGACAAAATCAGTTTATTAAGACATGGAGCAACAGGGAAAGGAGTACCACTGGAGTACTATGGCTCCAATCTCCTCACAGTAGTAAAGCAAGTATTAAGTCAAATTATGTCTTGTTTATACTGCTGACAGCCAAATAATGTTACTGCCAAGTTGGTCTGTTTATGTTCAGTAATATTCCACGCCATTCTATGTACAAATCCTAGCTGAATGAATAGTGGGAAGATTATACTGAGAAGCCTTTAGCTAATGGAATTCCAGCAATGTACACTTTAGGGTCCCTAATGGCTTAGCTTTTGCAAAATGTCCATATGGGTCTCTAGACATTTGCCTCAAAGGAGATCCTGCATTATGCATTCTAGGAACTGACAGGCAGAAACTCAGCTTCTGTGAGTTTAGTTGTTAAATCAGAAGACTCCAAAGTAGTTAATAAATATGTCAAGACATCTAACAAAAACAAAATTTACAGGTGTATAATATGCATTGAAATTCACCAATTAAACTGTAAATGAGATTTGTGCACCTTGCTTTTCATATCAGATACAACAATAAAAGAACTAATGCTTCTTGAAAAAAATATTGCTCCAAATCAACTACATTCTTGTCTACAAAATATAATAAATAATAATAATCCTTGCATTTGATATAGTGCCTTATCACTTCGTCGAGATGTCTCAGAGCACTTCACAGGACATATTGTAAAGTGGATTGACTATTTTGTAGGCGTCACTACACTGTGCAGTATATACTGTGATTCTCTTTAAAACATCCTCCTAATGAAAGGCGCTACATCAATTTTACTATGATTTTTATGCATTATTATGTTCACTCGTGAGTTTACCATTCCGTTTGAAAACAATCAAGAGTCTTCATCATTCCCATCTTAATAAGAAAATTCCTTAGAAAATCATCAACTACTTCTGGTCTATGGGACAAAGTCGGTTTCAAAATCAATTCACCCTGCTGGGTCTGCAACAGAGAAAATAAATTCATGAAGCAAATGGATATTTACATGACAAGCTTTGTTAAACAAAATAACACAGCCTGACTACGTTCCAAACTTTGAAATATAGTTTTTCTAGCTTCCAATTCTTACATATAGTGTTATTTTCTTCTTTTTCCAAAACAAATTACAACAACAAGATTCCATTTATAGAGCGCCTTTCACGTCGGGAGGACATCCCATATTATTACATAGTGGTTTTGCACAGTGAAAACTAATCTCTGGAACTAAATCGTCATTGCCTCATTGATAAGCAATAATGAATTGTACAAGAACAGACTTCCTCCTCTACCATCCCAAAGTACAAACTCTTATTCATCAAGCAATTCAACATTCCAAACACACAATACTTGCCTTTGTATGAGTTATACTATGGATTTTGTGAGTTACACCAGTATTGAGATGTCTGTTCCAACTACTGCATTATGTCACTTTTCTCTTCTGTAACATTTTTTATACCAACCTGCAAACCAAGTCAGGAAATTGCCACCAGCTATCAGAATAATTACTATAGAAGCTAACCCAAACCACAATCTAGATGTCTAAAACATTCGATTTCTACAAACTGATCTGGTCAAATTCAGGTTTGCACCATCAATAAAATATTCTTACAGCTGCTTTGGTATCTTCATTCTGCTCCTCTACAGATTTTACTGTGAACTGAAAATCTTCATCTTCAGCAAGAAACCCCAAGTAATCATCGGGAGGAATCTGTATGTTTTTAGAAAAACAATTATTTGAAAAGGGTTATTACCACCTAATACACATTTTTATGGACCTTTGTATATTCAGTTTTCAGAATTTTCAAAAATTATGATATCTGTCTAGGTAAATCCTCCCAACGTGTATCTGTACTTTCCTTCTTTCACAGCAAAGCCAAGTTATTCAGTTCTTTGGCTAATTGTTAAGAAATTTTATTTCAACTTTTCATTTGGTGTTATGTTAAAAAACTTTTCCCTAAGTACCAGTCCATTAATAAAATTAACAAATTTTTTGCATGTCACTCCATTTGGATGTATGTAAAAATAGGACTAACAATTTGCAAGCCATAAATTTTATTATGAATGTTGTAAAAGCAATATTTGTAAGTTTTGTAAACCAGAAGTCGCTATTAATGCATTAAATCCAGTTTGTGAATATCGTAATGACCGCAATAAGAATGAGGATAAAGATCTGAAAGGATCAAAAGAGAAAATACCTTTAAACTAAACAAATGCAAGCAAGCTAAGCAAGGGTAAGGACAGAGCTACCCCTGCATTAAATATTGCATTCAAAAAAGCTTCACAGCTTTTGGGAGTTTACAGAAGCTAGATTCATACACAAGATGGCCACATTAGGCAACACTTGTATTATATTATTTTAAACACTTTGCATTTAAACAAAACAACTTCAGTAGGATGAAACTGTACACTGAATATTTAACTGGATCAAAAATGTACCATACCTCTTCATATTGGAAATCATCCTCAGAATCTTCTACAATGCTAACCTCTGGATTCTTTAGGTCAAGTGAAAAAAACATGAACCCTTTAATCATGTAACGCATTACTGTTCATCGGGACAGTATGCAGGAAAATGTTGCCTGGCCAGCAAACTCTTGCAATTAAACTTAATAAAATAATCTTTATCCTCACTTTAAAATAGTGTCTGCCAATCAACAACCGGCTGCCATGTGACGTCATCCCGCCCGCTCATTTGAATCTCGAGGCCAGGACTCCCTGGGAAGACATCACTGCCCCCATCTCCTCACTGAGTCTCACCAGCCCAGTGGGCTAGCCATGGCTCGCTGAACACTCCTGTCCGCTCCTTGTCTCAGCGTGCGCACATTGGCTGCCGCAATTGACCCGAGCTGCTTCCCCAAGATGTTCCCGACCCCGTCCCCTTCCCTCCACTGCTCCCGCTCAACCCTCCTCTCCCTCCCGCTGCCCTGACTCCTATCCCTCCTCGACTCCCCCACGGTCTCCCTCTGCGCCTCCCTTCATGTTCTCCGTCGTGCCCACTGTGATAGACGCTCCGGCACCCAATGCCCCTTCCTCCACTCTCGCCACAAGGCCCACCAACCCTCACCCACGGGAGCCAACCTTTCTTCCCTCACTCACATCCCATCCAACCCATCTACCCACCCCCTCCACCCTCATCCCTCATCGTGGAGTCCTGTAGCTCAGTGGTTAGAGCACTCGCTTTGCAAGTGAGAGACCTGAGTTCAATTCCCGGCAGGGTGAAACCTTGGGCAAGTTTCCTTACTCCACACAGAGCCTAATAATAATCCCTCCAAAACCAAAAACAATAATAAATTGGTCATTTTCAATCTACGACTGTTTGTGGGACATTGCTGTGCGCAATTGGCTGCCGCGTTCGCCCACAAATATGCAGTCAATTCTCTTTACAGTGTGTTCTGTGAAGTGCTTTGGGACGTCCTCCCGACGTGAAAAGCGCTATATCAAAAATGCAAGGATTATTATTATTATCTCCCACACACTCCCACCACTAACTGTCCCCACCGCATCGGTCTGCAGAACGTCCGCTCATTAACCAACAAGTCCTTCACAATCCATGACCTCACCGTCGAGGAAAATATCGACATCGTCGCCCTCACCAAAATCTGGGTCACCCCGGGCGACACCTTCCCACTAGTTGAGGCCACACCTCCAGGTTACACCTTTCACTGAACCCCACGGCCTAATCGCCGTGGCGGTGGTGTGGCTCTCATCTCCCGGTCCCCTCTTGGCCTTTCCCCTTACTCCTCCGTAACCTTCTCCTCCTTCGAACACCTTACCCTCTACCACCCCTCCAGGCTCTCCCTCAAAATCCTCCTTGTCTACCATCCCTCCAAGCCTTCCCCCACCTTCCTTTCAGACATCTCCACCCTCCTATCTTCCCTCTCCCTCTGCTCTGAATTCCTCCTAATCCTAGGTGACTTCAAACTCCACTTCACCCCCTCCTGACTTCTCCTCTGCCGACTTCTCCTCCCTCCTCTCTTCCCTTAACCTCTCCCTCCTCATCCACTCCCCCACCCACGTCCGTGGCCACCCCCTTGATCTGGTGATCACCCGGGGCCTCACCGTCTCAGACATCACCATCAGCGATAAAGCCATCAACACCCCTTCCCCTTTCTCAATCTTCCCATCACATATCGTCCGTGGAAAAAAATTTCCTCCCTCTCCCTCTCCACTACCCTGGAGTCATCTGAACTCCTACACCTCTGGCTCTCCCTGACCGATCTCCCCTCCTCCCTCTCTTTTCTCCACAACTCCCTCTCCTCCATTCTGGACTCCCTTGCCCCCCTCACCTCCCGAACTGCCTCATACTCACGTAAATCCCCTTGGTACACCAGCCATCTCCGTCCCCTCAAGGCACAAGTGTGAGCTACCGAATGCGTCTGGACCAATTCCAAACCAACGGTCCATCGGCAGATCTGGCTTCACCACACCAAGATCTACCGCTGCGCTCTTGCCTCTTTGCCTCCGCCAAATCCTCCTTCTACTCCAAGGTTATCTTGGAGGCAAAGGATCATCCCAGGCTTCTCTTTTCCACCACAAACCATCTCCTCCATCCACCTTGCCATGCCTCACCCATCCTCTCCTCAAACTCCAACTGTGAGGAGATGCTGGATTTCCTCGAAACCAAAATCAAGGGGATATGTTCAGCCACCTCTGCCCTGTCCACAGCCACCCCCACATCACCTCTCCTTCATGATCCACCCCCCACCCTTCCCCCCCCCCATACTCCTTCGACCCTATCTCTCCCTCCTCCCTCTCCGCGATTGTTCGCAAACTCAAACCCACCACCTGCTCCCTCGATCCCATCTCCACCTCTCTCCTAATCTCCCAGCTCCATCTTCTGGCTCCTCTCCTGTCCGACGTCATCAACCTCTCCTTGTCATCCAGCTCAGTTCCAACCCCACTAAAAACAGCTGTCATCACCCCCATCCTGAAAAAACCTTCCCTGGACCCATCCCTGCTCTCCAGCTGCCATCCCATTTCTAACCTCCCATTCCTCTCCAAGGTCCTGGAATGAGTCGTCGCTTCTCAGCTCCGCTCCTTTCTCTCTCGCCATTCCCTTTGAACCCCTCCAATTCTGAACATCTGTGACCAGGGCTCCTCTGCCTCCTTGTCCTCCTCGACCCCTCTGCCGCCTTCGACAATGTCGACCCCTCTGCCGCCATCTTCATACACTGCCTCTCCTCCTTACTTAATCTTCGCGGACCTGCCCTTGCCTGGTTTTATTCCTATCTCTCTCACTGTCTCCACTTTGTACCCTCTAACAGTTTCTTCTCACGTCTGGAGTCCCCCAGGGCTCTGTCCTTGGCCCTCTCCTCTTTAATATCTACATGCTCCCCCTTGGTGACATCATCCGTAGACATGGGTCAACTTCCATATGTATGCGGATTACACCCAAATCTATCTTTCTGCCTCCACCCTCAACTCCAGGACCACTGCTGTCCTGACAGACTGCCTGTCGGACATCAAGTCATCAAGTCCTGGATGAGGGCAAACTTCCTTGAGTTGAATGTGAACAAGACTAAGTCCCTCCTGATTGGCTCACACCAGCGCCTCAGCACCTCAGGCTCTGGTAACATTAACTTCCATGGTTGCACACTGCAACTCACCAAGCCAGACAGGAACCTCGGTGTCTTGTTCAACCCTCAACTGTCTTTTCTTCCCCACATCCAAACCATGACCCTTCCCTCACCTCCGGAACATCGCCCGACTCCGCCACTACCTCACCCCTCAGGCCGCTGAAACTCTTGTTCATGCCTTCATCACCTCCAGGCTCGACTATGCAAATGCCCTGCTTGTCGGCCTTCCCGACTCCTCACTCCACAGGCTGCAGATAATGCAGAACTCTGCAGCCCGTGTCCTCTCCCGCACCAAACTCCGTGACCCAATCTCCCCTATTCTCGCCCGCCTCCATTGGCTCCCTATCCTTCAGAGGAATCCAGTTCAAAATCCTGGTCCTCACCTACAAAGCCCTCAATGGTCTCGCCCCACCCTATCTCTGTGACCTCCTAACCCCCTACCAACCCGACTGTTCCCTCTGCTCAGCCGGCTCTGGCCTGCTCCTCGTCCCCCAACCCACCCGCCCCACCATTGGTGGGAGAGCCTTCAGCCACTCTGCCCCCAATCTCTGGAACTCCATCCCCCAATCACTCCACCTCGCCCCCTCCTTAGCCTCCTTCAAGCCCGCCTCAAAACCCTCCTCTTCGACAATGCCATTGGTCACCCCCCTTCCCCTCCCCTTCCTTCTCCCCCGACCCCAGCTCGGGTCTGAAATGCTGTACACTGTCCAGTGCCTTGGGACGTCCTCCCAACGTGAAAGGCACTATACAAATGTAATCTTGTTGTTGTTGGGAGGTATGCTGAAGACTAATGTACTTACTGGCTCAGATAATAATAATAATCCTTGCATTTGATATAGGGTCTTATCATGTCTTTGAGATTTCTCAAAGTGAATTGACTATATTTTCTGGGTGGACATATTGTAATGTTTCATTAAAAATATTTTTAAATGTTAATCATTTACTCATACTCTGGCAGTCAATATTTCACAACAATATTCTTAGAATACAAAATATTGTGACGGAATTGTCACACATTATGACAAAGTAAAAAATAAACAATGCTGCTGTTCTTTTTCCACCACGTAGTAGTACCCCAATATTAAATAACTAAAAAAAAACACTCCCAATGGACTCCTACATTTTGATTTTTAAAAAGAGAACCTTCACGTGCAGTGGTTTGCTAAACCTTTTCAGGCCAACATAACCAAAGCCATCTTGATTGGTCTATGCTGGCAATTCCTCACTGATTGCTCATTTTTCGCAGCAAATTCAATTTAAGATCCTTGTTTTAATTGCCCTTGTCTCGCCTTGACCTCCCTCCGATGGTTCTATTTCTCTGCCTGCTCACCCCCTTCACTGCCAACTGCACATACCCACCCCCTCTGCCCGCCTTGTCCCTTTGCCACTCTCTGTAAATCCTCCTCCACCTCCCCTCGCTGCTTCAAAATCCCATGGATAGTGTTGAAAGGAGCCTTTCTGTGGTCAGCACATGAGCACCAACCAGTGGTTTGAAACCAACAACAACAACTTGCATTTATATAGCAGCGTCCTAGAGCGCTTGATCAATCCTTGATCAACACTCCCTTGACTTGCATCTGACATAGCGTCTTGTCGTGGCCTCGAGACATCTCAAAGCGCTTCAAGCAGGATATTAGGGTGAAGTCTAGCAACCGTGCGACTGCAGGCGAACGTGGCGCCCACAAAACCGAGAGTGAAGCCAACGGGCCATTTCGGGCGCTGTACAAATGCAAGTTGTTGTAGTCGTATCTGCAAGCAGCCAGTCAGTGTGTTCGCTGGCAGCAAAGTGTAGATGGGAGAAATGTGTGTGTGTGTGTGTGTGGTGGGGGTTGTGTGTGTGTGTGTGGTGGGGGTTGTGTGTGTGTGTGTGGTGGGGGTTGTGTGTGTGTGGGGGGGGGGTTGTGTGTGTGTGTGGTGGGGGTTGTGTGTGTGTGTGTGTGTGGTGGGGGTTGTGTGTGTGTGTGGTGGGGGTTGTGTGTGTGTGTGTGTGGTGGGGGTTGTGTGTGTGTGTGGTGGGGGTTGTGTGTTTGTGTGTGTGGTGGGGGTTGTGTGTGTGTGTGGTGGGGGGGTTGTGTGTGTGTGTGTGTGTGTGTGTGGGGGGGGTTGTGTGTGTGTGTGTGTGGTGGGGGGTGTGTGTGTGTGGTGGGGGGGGGGTTGTGTGTGTGTGTGTGGGGGGGGGGGGTTGTGTGTGTGTGTGTGTGTGTGTGGTGGGGGGGGGTTGTGTGTGTGTGTGTGTGTTGGGGGGGGGTTGTGTGTGTGTGTGTGTGTGTGTGGTGGGGGGGGGTGTGTGTGTGTGTGGTGGGGGATGTGTGTGTGTGTGTGGGGGGGGGGTTGTGGGGGTGGGGGTAGGGGAGATGGTGCTGATGTGGAAAGGAACTTGAGAGGGGCAGCGTCCTCCCAGCTGCTGGAATGGCCAACGCGCACATTCCTAACGGAACCGTGTTCCAACGGTTCGAGGGAAACATCTGGAAGCCGCCAGATGCTTCAGGCAGCTCGCGGAGTGGCGCCGGGGGTGTGTGTGAGTGTGAGTGTGTGAGAGGGGGGGAAACCGAGCGCCCTGGACCACAAGCCAAACCCAACCACAAACACACAGACACCAGTCCTGGTTTGCCCTCTCCTCTCCCCCCCCCCACCCCACCCACCCACCCACCCACCCACCCACACACACACACACAACAGGCAAGAAGGCGGTACAATATAACAGGGGGAGGGGGACGGGGGGGGAGGGGACGGGGGGGGGTGGAAGGAAAAAAAAAGCCCCCACCGCAGAAACAGCCAACTAACTCGAACAGCAAACAAACGAAGCGGAGTTTGAGGTAAGAAGTCAAGAGACGGGAGTCACTGCCCTTGGGCTTCACTGAACAAAAGTGACAGCAAAAGCGGGGGGTGGAGGGGAGGGGGGAGGTGGGGGGCGCCTGTCAGCTACTTATTGAACAGCAAATTTTCTCTCTCTCTCTCCCCCCCTCTCTTGTCCAGGGGGGCTGGTGAGGCGGTGAGTGTGTATCTCTCTCCTCTCTCTCTCTCTGTGTGTGTGTGCGTGTAAAAGGATACGCTCCAGGTAGTAGGTGCCATCCTCCTGCCCGGCCGCCATGGTCGTGTTGGGTGCCGGTTGTTGCACGCGGGCCGTTGCCATTGACTCCCAGGCGTCTCACTCTCTCTCTCTCTCTCTCCCCCTCTCTCTCTCTCTCTGCTCTCGCTCTCTCTCTATCTCGCGAGACTTCCTCCTTCCCGCCCTCCCTCCCTCCCCGGGCGGGAGGCGTCCCGTTGCCGTGGAAACCGCCCGCCCCCTCCTCTCCTCATGGCGGGGAAGGCAGACAATATTCATGGGGGGACTTTTTTTTAAAATGTGTTTGCTCTTTCTTTCTGTCAGTCAAGTCAGTTCGAACGGCCAACCTCTCCCTTACTGCGTGTCTTGATCTGAATCGAGCGATTGTGTTTTTTTAATTCTAATTCTAATAATAATAATTATTATTATTGTTATTATTATCGTAGTAAATAATGCGGTGGAAATGTCAGGTGAAGCTGGGCCGCGATTTGACTTGTTTCACGCTGAGGGAAGGGAAAGGAAGGAAGGAAAGAAGGGGGGAGGGAGGGAGGGTGAGGAGAGGAGAGGGAGAGGAGAGGGAGAAAATGGCTTTGGCGGCCCCACCTGCCAAAAAAAAGTAAGACAAGACGGTCGCGCAGAGTGACATAAAAAAGAAGGGAAGGGGGTGTGGGTGTGTGGGGGGGGGGGGGGGAGAATAGTGTATATTTTTGTTTTTTTTGTTGTTGTTTTTAAAAAAAAGTAGTACTCGCCGGGTACTGATCAGAGAGAGAATGGAACTGTAGGACCGCAAAAGGTAAGTCTTTCGCTTCTCCATTCGCTGTTGTGGCGTTCGTTCAACTTGTGTCAATGTGTTGCTGAACGGGGAGGGAGTTACTGGGTTGTGTGTGAAATTGGGTGTTATAATAATAATAATAATCCTTGCATTTGATATATAGCGCTTTTCACGCCGGGAGGACGTCCCAAAGCGCTTCACAGAACACACTGTAAAGTGAATTGAGTGTATATTTGTGGGCGAACGCGGCAGCCAATTGCGCACAGCAATGTCCCACAAACAGTCGTAGATTGAAAATGACCAATTTAATTATTGTGTTTTTTTTTGGAGGGGTGGTCAAAGGTTTTAAGTGTTGCCATCCAGGGTTCTAGGCCTCATTTATTGCATTATTTTTTTTAAAACACAAATCCCAAACTTAATAATAATAATAATAATAAAACTTGACGAGAGATTTACATTTTCTCACATTCCTCCTCTCACTATAAACTCTTAACGGGTTCACACTATGTCTTATTTTTCATTTCAGTTCCCCCCAATTCTGAAATATAAGATGAATTGTCATATTGCATACTTGTAATAAATAATAATAATAATAAACTATATAATATCCTTTCTTTGGCTACATTTTTTAATGTGCTTTATTACATACTTGTCTTCGAACACCACCATAGCTTTAAAATAATCCTTGCGTTTTGTATAACATCTTATCACATCATTGAGACGTCTCAAAAGTACTTCACAGGATCTTCCTATGTAGTGACAATTATTTGTAGGCAAACGTGGCAAGTAATTTGTGTACACCATGAAGTGAATAACCAATATTATCTGGGGGATTTGTTGGCCAGAATTGCGTTCTCTTTTCAAGTAGTACCATAGTTTTTTTTAAGATCCATCTGAAGAGGCAAGACAAGAGGCAGATGATATCTTGGTTTAACATCTCATTTGAAGGATGGCATCTCTGAGAATGAGGTTCTCCCCAAAACACTACATTGGAGTGTCAGCATAGACTGAGTTCAAAGTCCTGAAGTGGGGGTTGAACCCACAACCCTCTGACTCAGAGGCATGAGTGCTACCAGGCTCACACATATGCAAAATAAACACTCCCCTAAATTATTAGGTGATGAGATAGATACATTGAAAGAATATTTTGGGAAGTTGAGCAAGTAAACGACTCTATGGTTCATTCCTACCTGAAACATATGTTATAGAAAAGATCATACTGTGTAATATAATTGTAGAAATTGAATTGTAAATAAATTCAATAAAGCAAATGTCCATATAGTAACTTCCTATGCGTTGTTTTCTTAATTTGCGTCCCACCTTGTGAGGTTTGCATTAAAATATTTATAAAATTCTGCTGTGCAAATTTAACACAGCAAAAGGAACACTTTCTTGTTTAATCCACAGAGAGGCAGTGTTCTCTATAGCCAATGTACTCGTAATAGTTAATAGATGTATAGAGTTAAATGACTACTGGTGCATCGTTTCCCTTATTTGTTTGAATTATATAAGAATTTCATTTAAATCAACATGATTGCCATAAGTAATTTCAACTGCAATTTCATCTTGCATCAATTTTAACTGCAGATTAATGCTGAATGCAAATACAGTATAACTAAGTGCTGTTTCTAAAAAAAAAGAAACGTGTGTAAACAAATCTACAATCATTCGATATCCAACGAGTTTCAAGATGCATTGATTTTCCCAGAAAGTTAAACAAACTTTGCATGGACCCCTTTCTGTTGATTCCCCTGAAGAGTATATGACCGCTTTTTTTTATCTGAATCCTGATCAAAGAATGAGTCATATTCACAACGGTCGCCTGACAGTCATTTTGACAATACTGTACTAAATCATTAGCCGGAAAGTTCTACCTTGCTCAAAAAAATGACAATGACAACCAACAAGATTCATTTCTTCATCTATAAACGTGAATAAATATAGTTTAACATTTAAAGCTGTCCCTATCTAATTTAGATCCCACGGTAACATACACAAAGTGTTGGCCAATAGGAAGCTTGCTTCTCCTCGTGAAGTTTTGAAGGTTTTTTTCCACCTACAAGTTTCCTGTCTTTTGATGTGTAGATGGGTGAACTGATAGCAATAATGTTCAACATTTACTCTGAACCCGACTATGCATTTTTTTCTCTCTAGATATTGTAACACTGAATTCCCATTCTTCGATGCACCTCATTGATTAATTGTGTGGGCGTCCTAAGCGGGTGGTTAAAAGCTTTTCATGTATCCAGTTAATGATCGCAATTTGTATTCCGCTACTGTATGTGTTTAAATGTCAAACCTCTATGTATTTAAGAGACTGTCGAGGTGTAAGTGATTTTGTTAAATAATCTTAAACAAATAAACTATATGTTAAAAAATCTAAAAGGAACCCCATACTTGTTATTTTTAATAATATATTATATTGGTTTAAAACAAATACACTTAACTACACAATTAACTGCCCAGTACCATGAAGCCAATATGCATGTTGAGTAAAGGAAGGCCTGTGATGTTTGTAAATTCTATAAATTATTTTCTAAACTAAAGACATTTTAGTCCTGTAGCTTAGTGGTTAGAGCATTCGCCTCACAAGTGAGAGACCTGGGTTAAATTCCCAGCAGGGTGAAATGTTGAGCTAGTTTCTGAACTCCACACGCCTCTGTTTAACTAGCAGTAAAGTAGGAGATCGCTTTTCCGGGAGTAATAATTCCTTCAAAAAAAATTTCTTTTAAATTTTGTTCACTCAATCCATGACTGTTTGTGGGATGCTGCTGTGTGCAATTGGCTGCCACATTTTGCCCACAAAATAACAGTCAATTCACTTTACAGTATATTCTGTGAAGCGCTTTGAGGCGTCTCGAAGACGGGATAAGACGCTGTATGAAATGCAAGGATTATTATTATTATTTTCCAAGATTGGTTTCAATTTAAAATGTTGGTGAAAGTCTATACTATAGATACTGGTCTCACACCAGTTTGGTCTGATACCAATCGGTTAGCATCAATTTATATTGTCAGTTTTGCAAATCAGGTCTGTACTTGGGCAAAGTGAAGCTCTGTGCACTTCCAAACATGCACTGCCCTCTGCAGAATTCTTAATGCTGTTTTGCAGATGGTTCTTGATCAATGTTATGATCTGCCCTATTCAGCTTTGCACTGGCTGCAAAACTGACTTTCCGTCCAACCTTACATCTGGGCTCTCATTGCCCAGTTTTCCCTCATTGCCCACGTCTGCCTCCCCTCCCCACCCCTGCACAGCTGCTGAGACCTTTATCAAGGCCTTCATCACCTCTAGGGTTAAATACCCTGCTCGCTGGACTCCCCTGTATCATCCCTGTACCCTCTCCCACACCAGGTTCCTAGAACCCATAATCTCTACCCTCGCCCACCTCCACAAGCTTGTTGTTCTCCAGCAGATGATTCCATGATTCTCATCCACATATTCAAATGCTTCCATGACGCTTCAATCTACTTCTGTAATCTCCTGCGACCCTACTGCTCTAGTCACTCCCTCCACTCAGTATACATGGCCTGCTTAACAATACTTGCCTGTTCTGTCCCACCGTTGAAGTAAGTCTTCAGCCACTCTGCTCCTAGCCTCTGGGACTTTGTTGGCATGGTTCACTATCCTCCCGGGGGGGGGGGGGGGGGGGGGCGGTGAGGGGGGTGTTAGAAAAGTAGGGTCTCCATAGAGCTGAGCTGGCTCCAAGGTGACAAGATTGGCAATGGAATGTCAGAATCAAATCACTCCTCTGTGGCAGTTTTGGTAGTCTAGTTTCTAAGCCAGATGTGTCTGCAGTATTCCAGGGCACTGCTGGCTCATCAGCAGGACATAGAGGGATAGATAGATCAGTCACTTAGAGCAGGGATTCTTCGGCTCTGCTAACCCTGCAAGCCAAAGCCATAACAGGGTGGAGTGGTCCTAGCTGAACAAACAGTAGGAAGCTTGTTAGACAATACTGTGGTATGAGATGTACCCCAACACACACTCTGGGACCCAAACCTTGGCTCTTGCCAACCTGTGCCTAATACTCTGGAATTAGGTAAGCAGGCTGTGCCCTTCTAGGATGAGAGTGCACATTGCATGTCAATGCATGGGTATTTCCATGTATAGGTGGGATGCATGGAATTCTTTGGATACTCTTATGCATGGTGATGGGTTTCCACACCTGGCTGATCCCCCAAAAAAGTGCTCTCAATGGCAAGCTATGTGGGTTTAGCTGGTTAAACTCCAACAGAACCTCAATACACACTCTGGCGGATTTACTCTCTATTCCTGGCACTGAATGAAGCCTTTGGGTGTGCTTAGCTAATTCAGCACAGAACGAGGATCGAACCAAACACTTTCAGGGAATGCATGGGTTAATGTTAGCCACAAGAGCATGTTTATTACACAATTACATTTCTAAAATCACCCTTTGGAGTTTTAACGAATTAAGGTTTTCATACCAGTGACATTCATTTTTACAGTGATCTAATATATCCATCAAGAATCATACATGTCCTGTCGGTATTTAAACAATATAAACATACACAAGAATAGATTTGATCACTTAGGAAATTATAGGCTTATTAGTTTAAGAGCAGTAATACTAAAACTTCTCAACATTTACATACAGTGATGAGGCATGGAAATAGGCCACTAACTAACTAGTCTGTGCTGGTCCTTGTTTTATGCTAATCATAACATTATTGTGATTCTGGAATATATTTTAACAACTATATGGTGACCAAAAAGTCATGATATCTATCCTATTATCTAAACAAAATCATAATTTCTTTAAAACTTGCACATTGTAATGGTATCTCAACTTTTGGTCACCCTGTATAATAAAAAAATAAGAGATCTACCTTCCAAATTTATGGTTGTTTACAGGATACATCTTATTTATTAGATTGAAGAAATCCAGTAGATGTTAAACATATGTACAAATGTACAGATTTTCAAAGGCCTTTGATAAAATATCGCACAAGAGACTCATATTGAAAACGAAAGCTGTTCGAATTAGGGACTAGTGAAATTGATTACAAGTTGAGTTGATGTATTACCGGAATTTCCCCCAAAGATGGATTGTAGATCTTAGGTGCACTCTAGAGAAAGTGCAGAGTGGAGGCACTTTGTCAAATAGAGAACCTAATGTATTTCTTTTCTGCATCTCCTAGGCATTGCCTGCTTCCACCGCCAGGAAATGATTGATACAGGAACCTATAAAGAAAAGTACCAGGAAATTAATTTAAATTAGGCTGTTTTAAACAGACTAGACCATAGACCAACAACTTGCATTTATGTAGCACCCCTCATGCAGGGTAGTGTCTCAGAGAACTTTAAACATACAAGTTGTGTGGAATACAAGTCATGGAAAATGGTATTAAAATATCTCTATATATCACACTAGTCAATCCACAAATATAGTAGGCATTCAGTTGTGATTATTGCACCCACCTTTTATCAGAAAAGGTTTAGAAGAGCCACAAAGAAGGTTGTGTGGTGGTAAAGAGCAAACAAAATAAAGATTACTTTCTTCAGTATATTGAAGACAGAAGATTATGATTTGTAGTTCAAAAATGCTAATTAAAATAGATGAAACAAAAGCTAGCCAATTAATTGAACCTAATGAAAAATATAGGGAGAGCACAACTCCTTTAAAAAGTTAAGCCACCAGCTAGAAACAAATAGCATTATATTGTCTATCTGACAAAGTCCCGATTATCATTATTGCGGAACATTCGAGTGTCGCACTTGACACAGCTACATTGCCCAGCTCAAGGTTCATCTTCAGCGGCTTTCAAACAGTTTCAGAACAATATGTAAACAGATCTTTGGCCCTCTCTGCAAAGTTATCCGTAAGGATAAATAGAGAGGAGCTCAAGACATCATATTGACTGGACTAGCAAGTATCTAGAGTTCATTCATGATATGCCTGCGTATGTTTATAAAATTTCTCTGAAGAGCATTTATGAAGATAAGTGCTATTCGTGCTGTTAGTGAATTTCCAACATGCTTGCATTCGTGACTAATTTTATTCTATCAATCCATACAATATACTTTCAATTTGACATTATTCATTGGTTATATTCTAAGATGTCACCTAGCACAATGCTAGGGCCATTTAAAGAGGGGATTGAGTATATTCACCTTTCAAGAGAAAATGAAGTGGTAAAATCTTGGATTTAGGCCAAAATAATGTTAGTTGAAGCACTGGCTTTGAATTGAGTGATGGAATCAGAGAATAACAATAACTGAGCTCTACTGGCTAGCTGCAGAACCAATCCACCAAGTGAAACAAACTTGTCAGGTCAAGTGGCTTTCCTCTTTCTTTAAATCTTTGAAATTTTAATAATTTTCTGCATCTCCTATTTCTGCTATGTTCTAATATTAACTTTATAAACTCTACAAAGTCTCCATATTGTTAAACATTAATATTTTCAAATATCAAAATCTTTTAAATAATATAGAGTCTAACATGCAGTTTATATTTAGTAGTAGATTGATACTGTACTAATGCATTTCAAAGTATACTAATGAACCATGTTAAGAAGATCAAGAGACTTGGAGTTGATGGGAATTATTTTGTAAGGGATATCCTCAAGTGTGAATTCACCCTTTTGATCTGCACTCAGTGTTCATCATTCCACCAACTACAACAGTGGTTACCACTTGCAAACCAAAAGCTATATCTCTACTTGTTTATGCAATTTTAATATACTTAAAATGTAAGCTAATCTCTGGGAAGAAGAGCTATGTCATTTACTTCTGATGGTGAGATCTGCATGGCAGGATATCCCTTGTTAGTTTTGTATTATATTGTACATTCATTTTGTGTGTAGAAATGTATATCTGAATGTTTGTCTTAGTTTTACTATGCTATTATCTTTGTTTGGTAGACATTTGTAAACATTTTAAAAATTTAAATGCACCTAGATTGCATCAATTCATTTTTCCATCACATGTGTAAAGCTTTAAATAATTTCAATGTCCAGTGTCATTTCAGCATTGGATAATTTTAGAAACCAATGTGACTAGCTGCTCAGCTTGTCCCATAGTAAACATGAATATCGTTTTTCTTATTATAGTGCTAATCATAAAATCATCACCACTATAGTAAACGTGCACTGCAGTCATTGTGTTCTTTGAACTGTTGCTCCATCTGTTCCACTCGTATTTTGACCGGATATGTTCAACAAAAGCATGCAGTGTTTCTAGGGTAGAACAATTATCATTCAAAAAGGGAAGGCTGGATGCGAAAGCTAGCAGGTCATTTTCTCTGAACCACAGAGAGCTTTTTATCAGCAACAAGCATAAGAACAAATACCTACATATGAAACTGAAGACCTGTCGCTCATGTTACACTCTGGTAGATTTTGCGGTCAAACTGCAAAGAAAATAACAGTTGGAGGCAAATTTTAACGTATCATCACACTCACAATAATATATAAAATAAGGCTTGGAGCCATCATCTGCAGACATTGAGTCAGTTTTCATCTGTATGTCAATGGCACCCAGTTTACTGTTTTCACTCTGAATTGGAGACTACTGCTGTTCTATTTAATCACATATCTGACATGAATTTTCAGATGAACCTTAACTTGCTTCAGCTGAATCATCTTATACATTTCTTGGCAACACCTTCTTGCTTGTGGCTTCAACTATCACCCTCCTTGGTTGCTCACTCTGGCTAAATGAGCCAAATGTATAACTGTGGTTCTCCTTGAACCTCAAGTGTTTCAAGCCCAACATCCAGTTCATGACTAAGACCACTTTCTTATGTCTCTGGAGCATTAATTTGTGTCCCTGACTCATCCCCTTTGTAATTCAACCCCTTATCCATGCTTTTGTCCCCTCAAGGTAAAACTTCTCCAATGCTCTCCTCATCATCAAACTAAATTTTCAGAACATTCTAATGTCTGCAACAACAATAAAATTACATTTGTATAGCACCTTTCATGTCAGGAGGACGTCCCAAGGTGCTGGACAATTAGTGTTTCGGATCTGAGCTGGGGATCGAGGCGGGTAGAGGGCAGGGGAGGACAAAAATCCTTTACTTCCCTCAAATGTTTTCTAAATGTCACATAGGAGAAGATCTCAATATGTGAAGGGGGGTGGGGGGAGATAGGTTGGTGGTAGCTAAAAGCAGTCAGAGATTTTAGGTGGGTTTTGAAACCACAGAAGGAGAGTGAAGTGGAGGGATTTAAGGAGAATTAATGATGGGGGTAAGGTGGCTGAAGGCTCACCCACCAATTGTGGAGCAGAGAGGAAGAGGAACATGAAACAGTACTGAGTTGGGTAATAACCATCGAAAATTTAAGTGGTTGCTATTATTGTCATTTATGGTTTACAATTGTTTTAATTGAAAAAAAATTGTAAAAAGAGACATAGAAATGGTTTATTTCCATTAATTCTAAGAGAGTTTTAAAATTAGAACCAGGCCATTTAAGACTGAAATCAGGAAGCATTTTTTCACTCAAAGGGTGGTATAAATCTGAAATTCTCTCCCCCAAAAGCCTGTGGATGCTGGATCCAACCACACCATCAAGAGTGAGGCTGATAGATTTCTGGTAGGTCAGAATATCAAGGGATATGGGGAGAAAGCAGGAAATTGGAATTGAAAAGATTAGTTGAGGTAGATCAGCCATGATCTAATTAAATGGTGGAACAGACTTGACGGGCTGAATGGCCTACTCCTGTTCCTATGTTCCTAATCTGAAGAAAAAACATAGATAAATTGGGGGTAAACAATGCATTAATTGACTGTGTTATGGATCTTATTATCATATTAATATTTTCTCATTTTAACATCATTTCAGGTCAAATTAATTGAGTGGTAACATGTACCAACAAATTAAGACTTTTTCATGAAGAAATGTTTGAAAGGTTGAAAAATGCAACACAACACAAATACTGGATTGGTTTGAGTACTCATACAAATAATATCAAAAATCTTATCTATAAGATCTAAGTTTGTATTGAAACATCAGTAAATTTAAAACCAAAATCTGATAACGGCAATTAATCTATCAAGGAATTAGTGTGCTTTGTTTTTAAAAAAAATCGTCCAAACTATATAGCTTCTCATATTACCAATAATGTTTCAACAAAAATCTAGAAATATAACTATTCATTCAATTTTATGGACACGATATCAAGAATAATGGTTCGCATTATATTTATTCCAAGCCCTGCTTTGTCTCATTTCAGATAATCTACATTAAAATTGGTCTTATGATTTGGGCCCCTTGGAAAACAAAATTAGAAATAATTATATTTAATATTATATCATTTCTGTTGTGTCCTGTCCATTGTGTAAGTTTTTATAATACTTTGTTCAAATATTTGAGCAAGTGTTCCCAGGCTCGATGCTTTCGGTATCCGCCTTGCTCAATTACCAACATTCTCGCCTCTTTGAGTCAGAAGTTGTAGGTTCAAGCCCAACATCATGACTTTAAACTCCAGGCTGACATTCCAATGCAATGCCTGCACTGCATTGTGCGAGGTGCCATCATTTAGATGAGACTTTAAACCAAGGGCCTGTCTGCCTGTTTGGGTGGATGTCAAAGATCCCATGGCACAATTCAAAAAGAGAAGCAAGTTTCTCTTGGTGTCTTGACCAACAATCCCCCAGATTAAAAAAAAATGGTTATTCACTTCATGGCTGTTTGTGGTACACTGCTGCTTGCAAATTGGCCCAACAAAAATGCAGTCATAACACTTTTCAGTAAATCCTGTAAAGTGCTTTGAGATGTCCTCCTGATGTGAAAGGAGCCATATCAAATGTAAGAATTCCACTCTTTCTTTAGTTTATGGCAGGGAGGTAGGAGACAGGGTTTCTTAACTGTTGGTGATTTTAACATAACATAACATGTAGGAGCAGGAGTAGGCCATTCGGCCCTTCGAACCTGCCCCGCCATTCCATCATGGCTGATCTTCTAATCTAATCCAGTATTCTGATATGTGGTCATTTTGTTTCAAATTTAGTTTTGGGATGTCCTCCCCACGTGAAAGGCAGTATGGCAAATGTCATTTGTTGTTGTTTAGCATGCTGATGATTCTGTACAAATACACATGTGATTTAGGCACATGAGGACACATTGCAATATGTGGAGCAATCCTCTTTGCATCAGATGAATTCAGAGTACATTATTCAGAATTCAGCGCCTTGGAACATCCTCCTGACGTGAAAGGCAGTATCAAAATGCAATTTGTTGTTGTTGAAATTCATACATTGGACAGGCAATTAGTTCAGATACAGTTAAATTATTTCTCTGTTGCAGCTGCCACAATTAAAGATATCTGTGCATTAATATATTAATGATGGCAGGATCCACAAGAGCTCTCTGTGTGACAAAGTGCTTATTTAGAACTTTAATGTTCACCCAAATTGCCCACTTCTCTGGATTTGCAGCCAGCCTCATTCATGCCGAATTCTGACCCTAAAGTCAATTGAAGTCCTTGAGAACATTTGAGAGCTTTCAATGGAAAATCCGAACTTGTAGCTGTACAATGAGAAGATCTGTGCTACCAATGGTGCCTGCCCAAATACACCTTCAAATGCCTGGTCACTGTCCTCTTCAGAGATATACTTGAAATGAATGAGGCCAGAAATAGATGTAGCAAATTTGAATGAAGATTTTATCTTTGGAGACATCAAGTCAGATGAGTCAATAGTAGTCTGAAGCACTGTTGATGACAGATAAGCCAGTGTGGCTAATCCTCAGGACCTGGAGGTGCAGGCCAGTCACTGGGAGTAGGAATTCTTCCCACCTCGTTCCTGTTAACCCTTTAGTCAAAGCAAAAAACGATAGGGTAGTCCTAGCTGGACAATCAGTTAGAAGCTTGCTAGACAGTGCTCACTAAACATTTTTAACTGGTTAAATATTTTAGCTGGTTAAATATTGAATTAAATATTCAACAACAACAACAAAATTACATTTGTATAGCACCTTTCACGTCGGGAAGACGTCCCAAGGCGATGGATAGACAGAGTTACGGACCTGAGCTGAGGGTTGGGGTGGGGGAGGGTGGAGGGTAAGGGAGGAAGCAGGTCCTCTCTGCACCAGGCTCTCATGACTCCATCACTCCCACTGGCTCCCCATCCCTCATAGGATAGTTAATCCTTATAATAAATCCTCATCCTTGCCTTCAAGGCCCTACATGGCCTTGCTCCTTCCTATCTCCGTGACCTGCTAATCCCTTATCAACTTGTCCACTCCCTCCACTCAGCAGGCTCCACATCCACCGCCTGGCCCACCCCACAATTGGCAGTCAAGTCTTCAGCCTCTCCACCCCACCCTTTTGAACTCCATCCCACATTCCCTTTGCTTTGCTCCCTCTCTTGCCTCCTTCAAGGCACGTCTCAAGACCCTCCTCTTCGACTGTGCCTTTGGCACCCTCCTACCTTCCCAGCCCTCCACCCTCCCTTGCTCCCCCCCGCTCGGATCCAAATCCCTGACTGTCAATGCCTTGGGACATCCTCCCAACGGGAAAAGATGTTATACAAATGTAATTTTGTATTGTAATTATAGTATTTTGTAAGTTGTTGCTTTAGAACTCGATTAGATGGAAAAGTCGATTGGACTTTATGAACAAATAGAAGAAATCTATAAATTAGTCTATCATGTTAAAAGATCAAACTCAGTTTTTCGTTTTGATTGACGTATTGAAATCTATAAACAGTACTGGGAATTCTGCACTATTGCAGGTTTTTCAGGTTCGAGAGGTCACTTTTGCTGGTTCAGCTGCAGTGTTTGGGTTAGGAACAGCAGAATCAGTTGCCTTCTTTGAGGATTACAGTTAGCGAAAACTAGTGTTTGGGTGCTGCTGGTTTGCAGAAACTATTGCCTTGCCTTCTGAATAATTTCACTGCTCAAAATAGCTTTGAATACATTTCCAATTTACTTTTTGCTTACCGGGGGGGCTCTTGTTTATCCTGTCACTTGCAGAGCATGTATTTGTTTAACATTGAAACACATTCCAGTCCATGCTACCAGCCTACTTTAAATTATATTTATTCTATGAATGCGTAATTGTTGACTATTGACTAAAAAGGACTTAAACTAAACGCCGTCATTGAGCCGCAAGATGTGCAGCCTGCAAAAGGTACAACGCCATCCCACTGTTTCTGCTCCCGGGAATAAGAGGAGAGAGCACAACAGCCCTCGGCAGCTTCGCATTCCTGGAGCCTTTGGACGCAGGAATTGGGCCAAGCACAAATCGGCTGTCCTCAAGGCAGGCAGGAGAATCCTGACTCAGCCCGGTAGAAAATGGCATTCTGCAGGTAATAACTTCTCGCAACGTCTGGGCAAGGAGAAGGCAGTGCAGCGCCTAGCCTGGGGGCAGAAAAACCTGCTACGAGTTGTCACTCTGCACCCCATTAGAATGAGAAATGTCCTCCTCACACCCACCTGTTTTCCTGATATTACTACAAGCGGACACCGCCTGGCAACGGCCTCTATTGAAAACAACGACAGCACGGTCCACCGCCACCCTGTAGGGTGCTGGGCGGTGCTTCTCTTCCAAGTGGCACATGCTTTAAGAGTGATTCCTTTTTACCATAAGTGAATCTGGTGAATGACACGCTTTTGCTGCTGTGGAAAACACAAGCATGTGCACGTCAGAGTCGAACAGCAAAACACGAACATCACGCAGAATTTTATAACGCTTTCACCTTCAGAGAGACACTGATTCTCAAAAAGTGGCTTTGCCAAGTTTCGGTATCAGGTAGATCTGAAATAACAGATTCTATTTTTTTTTTAAAAATGTTACAAATGATTTTTAACCCTTTTAATATTTATTAATTACTTTAGTTTAAAGGAGGGACTGGTCCATGAATTATCAAAATCAGAATCCACACATACGTGTACTTATAAATGCCAGCTATGAGTAAAATAGTAGATCAATTTGGTATATGCTTTTAAAGGAAGACAAGGGTGGCATATGTATTAGTCTATCAGTGATATTCAGTGTGGAGCAAAAGATGATTCTAGGTTAAAAACTGTAAACTATAAAGATGTCAAAGAGCTGAACTTGTTTTCATAAGAGAAAAAAATAAGAGCAACATAATCAAGGATTTAAAAGCTGAGAGAAACAGGAAATGCACACGAAGGCAAACCATTCGACAATAGACCTTTAGCGAGGCGTTCAGCACTTCTTTGTCGGGTTGTCTATTGCACAAACCTCTATATTTCATTTAGCTTTGTGCAAGTGAACTAAATAAGAGATGAGAATGGATAGCTATCGAGTGGTTGGTGAAACCTGTGGCTATTTAGCAATCTGATGGCTAATTTACAGAGAATGGCTCTGCATAAAAGGAAGAGAAATTTCTACTATCTTTACATGGAACTTGAAAACAATAATACCAAAGCTTTGTATGCACTATACTCATGCATTCAAATGTAGAAAAACTATAGATAGCATTAGAAATTGGAAATTATAAATAAAGGTTGTTATTTTGTGGAGAAGAAAATATACTATAATAACAGCTTATTTACACATAATTTGAGAATCAATCAATAAGTATAGCAATGATCTGTGAAAAGCTTGATAATATAAACAAAGATGCATTCCACATGACACCTGTGTGGCATCAAACCACACGAAACCTGAAAAAGTTCAAGTGTTACATAGTAATAATAATCCTTGCATTTGATATAGGGCCCTATCACGTCTCCTAAACATCACAACATGCTTGATAGTATAAATAGTAAAGTGATTTGACTGAATGGGCGAATAGAATGGGCAAAAATACAACATTTTGTTCTAAAATAAATGGCTTTATGGACATGCTACTTAGAATAATCCTTACATTTAATTTAGTGTCTTTCAAGTCAGGAAGATGTCTCAAAGCGCATCACAGTATTTTACTGTAAAGTGTAGTACCTGTGTATTCTGTAGGCGAATACGGCAATCAATATGTGCACAGCAATGCCCCACAAGCATGATGAAGTGAATAACCAATTTTACCTGGAGGATTATTGACCAGGACACCGAAAGAACCTCCATTCTCTTTTTGAGTAGTGCCAAGGGATCTTTTAACGTCCACCTGAACAGATGACGGTTTCACATCTTATTCCAAAGGATAGCTTTCTGGGGGTAATAAACTCTCCAAAAATAATAATATTAATTTTTTACTCAATCCACAACTATTTGTGGGATACTGCTGTGCGCAATTGACTGCCGCGTTTCACCCACAAAATATGCAGTCACTACATTTGACAGTATATTCTGTGAAGCGCTTTGAGATGTCTCGAAGACATTATAAGAATATACTGACAAATGCAAGGATTATTATTATTATAGCAACTCCATCAATGCAGGTCCCCCAAGACTGTATTGGAATATCAATCTGGACGTTGTGAATTCAGAGTCCCAATGAGAAACTTGAACTCTCAACATTCCTACTCAGTGGTGAAAGTTCTACCAACTGAGTCAGGCTGCACCTACAACAACAACAACAACAAGATTCCATTTATAGAGCGCCTTTCACGTCAGGAGGACGTCCCAAGGCGCTGGACAGTTGGGTTGGGACCCGAGCAGGGTGGAAATGGTCAGGGTGAGGGGAGGGATGGGAGGGAGCGAGGAGGGGGTAGAGAGTCGAGAGGGGAGCTGAAGGCACGGTCAAAGAGAAAGGTCTTGAGACCGGCCTTGAAGGAGGAAAGGGAGGAAGCGGCGAAGGCACTGGGGGATGGAGTTCCAGAGCCTCGGGGCTGAGAGGCTGAAGGCCCGGCCACTGATGGTAGGGCGGTTGGGGCGGGGGGTGTGGAGCAGACCGGAGCCAGAGGAACGGAGGGTACGGGCAGGTAGGTAGGGGGATAGTAGGTCGGAGAGGTAAGAGGGAGCAAGGCCGTGAATGGCCTTGTAGGTGAGGATAAGGATCTTGAAATCGATCCTCTGGGGGATGGGGAGCCAGTGGAGGCGAGAGAGAGTGGGAGTGATGTGGTCCCTACTTTCCTTTTGCATGCTTGTCATTACTTGTTATGAATTTTATGAGCTAAATTGGTTCCAAGGTGATGTGCTTAGCAAAATAATGTCAGAATCAAATCAACAGCTCTCTGGCAGTCTCAGTACTCTGGTTCCTGACCAGGTGGGTCTGCAGTAGTCCAGGGCATTGCTGATGAGAGGCTGAGTGGCAAGACTTGGAAGGGCTGGAGTTCTTCCCACTCAGCTCCTGCTAACCCTACAAGTTAAAGCTCTAATAGGTGGGGTGGGCCTAGCTGAATATGTTGTGAGAAGTTTGTCAAAAATGCTCTCAATGGCAAGCTGTGCCATTTTAGCTGGTTAAACTCCAGCAGTACCCACCTCCCCACAACCACTATGGGATCCCCAAGTCCCAGCTTTTACCAACCTCCACTCTCCTGAATTAGGCAAGCAACGTGGGTCCGTCCTCCAGAGTGCACATTCCATTCCAGACACAGAGAAAATTCCATGTTTAAATGGCATATATATGTGGAACTCTCTGTCTGGTGTGAAATTGTTGGTCAGGACAATGGGTGTAAATGGTTGCCACATTTGTCTACAAAAAGCAGGCACTACTAATTAATGACAATTTTCTGTAAATCACGAGATGTTTTGACATGATAATACTGCATAAAAATGCAAGTACATGTGCAAGTCATTAAGCAAATATGCAATTACAGTACTTTAACATCAAGTATGTTTTTCTATATGTAGTACATTTACTTTTTTAACGTTGACTATGTATGTATTTTAAAAAGTCATTAATAATAATGATTAAGTGAACATTATGTATAGATTTTGCTGGTCAATAGCAATGTAAACATAATTTAAGTAGGCAACTAGATGGCAGGATTCACCTCCCCTTATTCTTTATGGATATATATGTAAACAAAATGATAAGCAAAAGCTCAATGTTGAAACTGGAGACAGTTTGGTCAGTTGGGTGTCTGATACATGTGGAAAACTATCACCATGATTATCCAGATCAGACTGAGAATTCCACATATATTTGCCACCTACACAAGGAAATGTTCCTGTGTCTGGAAATGAATGTACACTATTTTCCTGGAGGGACACATTCGGCTTAGATAATTCTGGAGAAAGCATTCGGCACAGGTTTGTGAAAGCCAGTGTGCCCTTGGGGTACTTGGAACTTAACCAGTTAAAACTACACAGCTTTCCATTGAAAGCAATAATCTTCCAAGCTTCCCGATCCTTGTTTAAATAGGAACTCCCAACCGTTAGAGCTTTGGGTTGCAGTATTAACAGTAACTGAGTGGTAAGAATCCCTGCCTCATGTGTTTGCCCTCCCAAGTCCTGCCAATGAATCAGGCTGACTGGTCTGTCATAAGCAGTGCTCTGAAGTGGAGCTGACCTGCTTGGCTTAGGAACCAAACTACCAAGACCACCACAAAGCACTGACTCCATTTAACACTCCTTCAATACAGAAACCATATTTTTTTAAAAAAAATTGGCTTATGTTTGTAGAACAATATCCTTGGGGATAAAGGGCGAAACGTTAAGTTTAAGAGAAAGAAAGATTGTGCCAAAAAAAAATGTGACGTTCTGATAATCAGGTGCATTCTCAAATATTATCTGATCACAAGGCACATTCCTATCGTGTAATAAAATCTCAATGCAGCGTTATAACTTTTCAGTGGACCTCCTCTACAGGAGTTTATTTAAAATAAATAACCAGATGGCACTTGTGGCGTAACTACTAAAATGAGCTCATGTTTAAGAAGATCCGTTTGAAAGATTGACCTGAATGGTGAACCCATTCATTGCGTGTGGTCAGTGCACCGAGAACACGCTGCTTACTTTCAGCCCAATTGCGTGTCCGTTATCATTTAGCGAACGGCGCACAAACAGGGCAATCGCCCCCCCCCAAAAAAAAATAACAACGATGATGTTGTAAATGAGCTGATTCAGATCGCACTTACAGGTTCAAAACAGCGATTGCCCCCCCACCCCCACCCCCACCCCACCCCCCCGGTCGCGGTGATCAGTGTGTGCGGCGTGTTAACTGGTTTATTACAGATTACCAGTAGGCGTGTTGTCAGTGTCAGTGACAGGACCTCACAGCGCTCTGGAGGAGAAGGGCTGCGTGGTGCACAGTGATTGACAGGGCGTCCCGAGTGCCTCTGATCGGCGGTGTTTCCCTGGTGTCGGCTGGAGGGCATCTTTGCTCTTTGTCGATTGCCGAGAGACTGAACCCGTGTGGATCAGTTTCTCGGCGTTTGACAAAACTCCCATATAACCCGCCGTGTGGTTGAAGATGGAGGAAGTGGCTGCTGGATTAGCAGAGCTTCACATCCAGCGGGTCGCCACGGTGCGACACTAGGGAGAGAGAGTGGTGATGGATCTGCTCCGCCGGGCACACCACTGAGGTAACCACGGGTTTCGCTTCGGCGTTTAGACCGAAAGCGAATCAGATCGCGTTTGCTTCAGCGCGGGTTTAAAAGTTGTCAGCTGTGCATCCACCTACTTACTTACTTACTTACTGTACACAGTCGGACATGACTTGTTGCAGCGTTAAGAGGTTCCCGTGGTTTTCCTCGGGGTCACAGGGCAGCGCGGGGCTCATGTTAGTAGCAGTAATCGCACCCGAAGTTCTTGTGGTTTTTACTACAGTAATATGAACACATTGAGAGCTGAACGCGATCACTGGCATTTCCATGTATTGCCCACCCGCCCATTCCTGATTAATACGGTCACTGACAATATGAGTAATTCTCGAAAAGCACTTGTCACATATTACGGAAAGAAACGATATTTGCCCACAGGCTACTTAACCAGTCCTGGTAACCTGGTCCCGACCTACCCTGTCCCTGCGCTCTCTCTCTCTCTCTCTCTCTCTGTCTGTCTGTCTGTCTGTCTGTCTGTCTGTCTGTCTGTCTCTGTCTCTCTCTCTCGTCGATTCCTTGGGAACCGGTGTATCAAGTTTTGTTAATCACATCGCCGCGGCACTGACCTCTTTCTCTCCTGAAGTACTGTACGTGACATTCCTGAACACTTTCCCATCACCCATCCCAGTTCTTGCGCTTCTCGTTTGGAGCAGCAGTGAAGGGCTGACACGATTGCCGGCGTTCACGCTATGATCTCGCCTCGCAGACCGGAGCCGTGACCGAACGCCAACCCCCCGAGCTCCTCTCTCTCTCTCTCTCTCTCTCCGGTTTTGTTTAGTGGGACGTTTCTTCCTGTTTGCCTCACACTTCTTCTTTTATTCTCGGAAAAGCTGAGATCGATTCAACAGAGTTGGTGTACGCGGTGCGTTCGCGGTGACACGAACACGTTCGGCCGCAGTGTACGCATCTGCATCCATAGTAGTGCATAGTTATCTGTGTGTGTGTGTGTGTGTGTGTGTGTGTGTGTATCTCTCTCAGCTCTGTCAATCTACCGAATGGTTGGGTTGTAGATTTTTGTTGACCGCCGTAAGTATCGTTCCTGAGTTATTTGTGAACCGAATAGCACTCTCAGCTATCGTAACAGTTAACAGAAAAGAGGAACATGGAATCCCCTCTTCAGGGAAGTAGCTGGAGTCAAGTGGGGAAATAGCCCTGTTCCAGTAAACAACGTTAAGTTCCTGTCTTGGCTAAAAAACATTTGAGATCGATACGACTACATTATTCCGATAATCGTTGCAGTTTTCTGCTGGTACTGCGCTGTTCTTGAAATTAGTCTATTTTGCTGGAGAAACAAATATGAACAGATATTTCAAGGATTAAGAATTATTGGGCATCAATAATGACCTTTATTTCTGTATGTGTGTATATACTGTAGGATGCTCATGAGTACAAATATGTCGAATGTATTAAAAGAAGTAAAGTAGGGATTGAGTAAATGAATGACAACTTGGCACCAGTGATTGGTCATCAGCTTGACTTATTAGGCAAAGGGACATGGTGGCAATATTCTATGATCTTATTTAACAACTAATGGGTAGCTTCTGTGCTGATCTCAGCCAGCTGTCACTGCATGCATCTTTGTAAAGGACAGAAGACAGACTGTGTCATGTCCAGGACTGTCCACTATAGAAACAAACCCAGGAAAAAGGATAATGCAGCTACATGCTTTTCCAGAACCAGTGTCTGATTATTGGTACTTAACTGCAATATCATTTTGATAATCATAACATACTAGGTTTCTTAAAATTGTGTTAAAAGAACACTTTGGTGCATTGTGTAATTTGCAGTCATTCGGTAACTACTGTGCTACTGTGACAACCACACCAAGAAGCTTGTGTGGCATGAAGTTACAAGAGTGCCACTATCACAGGTGTCTTTTAATTACCATTAACGCTTTGTAATGATGAATAAGACATCCGGCATGACATTTTCTTATTTTTCTAACAGCACCGCACTTTGACTATGGAAACAGAGCCTTCGGATGGCCCTATTACTACTGGTGATGGTGAGTTTTTTTTAAAGAACCCTTATTCTTGAACTATTTGAGAATTCTAGTTGTAAAATTTCTTGTAGATAATTGTGGAGATAAAATGGTACATACATATCTCATTTAGAGTGCTTTTAAAAAAAGTTTTAATTCTTTAAATTTCCAACAGCCAGAAAAAGGAAGTGAACTTTTTCTGATTAACTATTCTTTTAAAGAAGGGACAATAAATTCACTCATTACTAGCATTTTTGTACAGGTAAAGTAACTTTAAATTTTGTTTAAATCCGCCCCTCTGAATATGGAATTGCTCACATTGTGCATGAAAAACATTTATTGGAAACAAGAGATATGGTTTATCACTAATTCGTGATGATTGACCTTTTCATTGCAATGCAGGTACTGATGACTCCGCTCCCAAGATGGAGCAAAAGGTGGTGGGTTCCACCACAAGTACACCGAATGGCCAATACACCTCACTGAGTCACGTGACAAGCAGTAAGTGTCTTATCTTTTAGTCTTTTGTAACAAGTTTCTACTTTACAAGTACAATTCTTTCAAACTGCTGGTTCTCTTGTCACAGCACAAAATTAAGCAGTTAACTCCGAACAGAAACCTCAGTACAGACCGGCTTTTATTGAACTTGTAACCATGAACCTAATTTCTGGTCTAAATTATGAAAAGGATGCATTTGGAAATTTATTTTTATCTTTACCAGGTAGGATTTCTTTGGCTTTATTTGGGGATGGTTTATATTCTTATAAGGTTTCATATGGAGGTGATAGACATATTCAAGGATTTAATAACCGATTAAGATTAAAATTATAAATTTAAGTTAAACATGTCATTTTCTATTTGCAGAAAAACCTTTTTGAGAATGTTCCTGTAACAGGAAAGATAGCAAACTATGAGTTTAATTCTTTACTGAAACTACAATTTCAGTAAAGAATTAAACTATTGGTTTGCTGCATATTAAAGTACTCGATACTTGTATAATTATATTTTCTTCTATCTCAACTGCCACACTATTTCATTTACAAAGGGATACAGTGCAGTCTTACGTGTCAAAAATATCATTTTTCAGAACTGTTTTTGATTTGCAGTCTTTTGTTTTGGGTGTGGTTTGTACCAATTGTTCAGAACATTGGGTTCAGAAAGTAGTTTTGGGTATTTAGGAAGTATTCTGTGGTTAAGAATGTTATCAACTGGTGTGAAAATTGGTTGTCAGCAGAGTGGACTGTTACATTAATCTACCAAAGGAAGATGGGCACCTGTTGCCTGTAGTTCATAGATTGATAATACTGCTGGAACTTTATTTTTGCCTGAACTTGGGTAAGTTACGTTAATTTTAATGTAGAAGCAGTTGTTGATGCATATGTACATTATGGTGCTCATAGACTTATAGTATTTTGAAAGATCATTGATCAATGCAGAATATAAAGCTAAACTCAAAAGCCATTTATTAAGTTACTTACTTTGGGTCAAGTTACTATTTGCAGAAAAAACTTGCATTTTGAGAATGTTCCTGAAACAGGAAAGGCACTTAGAGAATTATTTAAAAGGAAGATGTGAAAAAGGCTTTTTTTTAATTCATGTTAAAATGGAACTTGATTTGGAAAAAATATTTATCTTTGTATGATTTTAATGATTTTCTTGAGGGAGTGGCTAATGCTTACATAAAGTTTGATAGACAAATAGATGTTTACCACTTGGAGGTAAAATATAAGATTAATAAGGAATTTTCTATTTGGTGAGAAGAGGTAGATTTTAACATTGCTAAAAGGACTAGTACAATTATGTTCGTGTCCAGATTAGTCTATAATTTCCTGGAACAAATTTTTGAAGGCACGTGGCCATGCAAAGCATCACCTGTTTAGACAGCCAACTTTAAGGCTGAAAAGTACATTGTATCTTACATTTGTAGAGAAATGTTAATAAACGTTTCAAAATAGACAAAATAAAAGTTCAAACTGATGCAGAAATGTTATTTCTTAGGAAAGTTTCATGCTACTGTTTGAAATTTATAAAAAAACAAAACACTGCCTTGAAAATTGCATGATAATGATCTTTCAATAGTAATGTTCAGTCACAGGTGGGGTTCACTGAGTAAATGGAGATGCCTCTGCTGTTAATCATATTGTACACAAACAAAGCTTTTTGGGATGAAATATTTAAAGAATGTGGTGATCCTTGCTTTCCCTGTTTTGCAGGATGAATCTTCATTGGCATTTTGCAGTGAGAAAACTAGTTTTGAGCTGGTTTTCCAGCAGTTTCCTCAGCACAATTTTCCCATGGCTTTGCTTATTACTTTAATGTACTTTACTGTAAACCCTATTGGATCTCCTGATACCATATTTATAGGTAACAATGGAGAATGAATCTTCAATTAAATGTACAGTTTTTCCTCTAAAATGTCATAGTATTGTATATTATTTCTTATTGTGAGATCATGATTCCTGCTTATGCAATGGCTTGGGCACAGCAGGGGCTTGCAGTTCAGTGTTGTACAGACCATGCCTGTTGAGAGGAGGGAAGAATCTGCCTTTACAAAATTATCCTTTTTTATCTTGTGGGTAAACTGACACCTTTGGCTTTAGGCCAAACATTATTGGGAGAGTTTGGATGGTGCAGACAGGATTGGCAACAAGTTTTCTGCAGGATTGAGGTGGAATAAAGTGGGTTTGTCTGAGCCTTGGAGCTTTTGTCAAAACAGTGTTGTTTAACCTTTTGATTGCCATTCTATTCAGTAAAGTATGCATGGTGATTTTGTTCCAAAATGGGGAAGGAAATATTTCCTGTATAAAAAACATAAAATTAGATGAAATAGCATGGGAGTTTGAAGTTTGCCTATTTGATATTTAGGTTTGGTTAAAAACATAGTTTTGTAACGTGTTAATGTATTAGAACTTTGTTCAAAAGCAACCTTTTATTAACTTTCTTAAGATACAGTACTAGCATTTTTAATTGACTAAAATCAATATGAGTTTTTCAAAAAATCTGATTTAATTTATCAAGGTCAAATCATACTTTACTTGTTGCTCCTCAATCAATTGCTTATATCTGTAAATGATTCATTAGTCTACTTAAAATATGAATCAATGTATGTTGTACAATAGTGTGGTACTGCATTAAATACGTACAAATGGTAGATAGAAGAAGGGAAGCAGTGAATCATACAAGCACATCAATTCATTGATGTTAAGTATTACATTTAATTATTTATATGGAGACATCCAAAAAAGGAGAAGATAAAACACACAAATATATACAGTGTATTACAAATTATGCTGACGTATAGTCCACTGTACAGATGGATATCTTGATTTTAGTAGAGCTCAGAAAAATTTGGAACAAGAAAAGCTTGAATGCTTGCTGCAAGTTATCAGGATGTACTCAAATTGTTTCATAATTTTCATTATTCTTCATTGACGTATATTTCAAGAGCGCCAACTTATTGGATTTACACAAGTATAAGTGAAACTGATTTTATAAATAAAATTCATATGTTGGCAAATATACTGTTCGAGATAATGTTTGGATTGGATTTGAGCATGAAATCGGATACTTCAGCTTACTCTAAATATTGTCTTAAATTTACTTTCATTTTCAATATTTTTGTTGATAAAGCCAGAAATTAATATTTTAGCCGAACCTTCAAAACTGATGAATATCAATGGAACAAAAAGTAACACTACCACGTGGTAAAATCTCAATAGATTATTTGCACAATAAAGAGCTATTCACAACTATTACAAGATTTTCAGAGACACAGAAAAGTAATTACTATTGTATCAGTTCAATTGTGCAGTGCATCTCAACAACAACAACTACAACAACTTGCATTTATAGTGCCCTTCAGGTAGGATAGTGTCTCAGAGCGCTTCTCTAGTCATAACTGCCTTATTCTATTGTTATACAGAAAAACAAGTACAACTATCCTAGATTGGTTAGGAATGCTACTAGTCTAATGTCACATTGCCAAATAATTCTTTACACATTATGAACCAGTAAATGATTTAAAATCTTAATCATTTTATTAATCATTTTATTGGATTAAAATGATTCCGAGGAGTTAAGTCAGATATACATGCAAACTCTATACTGACTTGTCAAAGTTTGTGGATATATGGAAGTCAGAAATTTAAATATACAGGATAATTCTCACTTTCTTCACTTAGATGAGAAACGTGTTTAATAAAGTGCATGTCAAGCCAAATTTGAAATCCATGCAAAACAGGAAACTTAGTATGATAGTCAGAGAGGAATATGTTTTTGTCAAATGGTCCATTTTTACTCTGCCAGTGTAATGACTGTCACAAAGTCAAAAGGGCTTTATGTCTGGCTCAATTGGTAGATATTTCACCTTGGAGTTGGAAGTTTGTGGGTTCAAGCACCATGCCAGATCTTCACAGTCTAGGCTGACACTACCACAGTGCTTGGGGGTGGGGTGGGGGGACGCTGCACTGTTGGAGGTGCCATCCATCGGAATAAACTGACGTTAAACTGAGGTTCTATTTGCATGTTCAGGTGGACATTAAAATCCAATGACTAAAGATCCAATCCTGTCAAAAAGAGAAGGGAATTTCTCACAGTGTTCTGGTCAACAATCTCCCAAATAAAAATTGTTTTTTTACTTTTGGCTGTTTGTGGGACATTGCTGTGCACAAAACTGGCTGCATGTTTGCCTACAAATACACAATCACTACACTACACTGAAGCATCTTGAAACATTTTGATGACATGATAGGACGCTGTATCAATTGCAAGTATTATTTTTAAATGAACAGCATAATATTGTATTAATTATGAATCAATCCTGTTTGCATGCAGACATGGGACTTCCAGGTCTTCTTTGTTTGTGGTAATTGCACTGAGAACTGAGTTGGTTACTTGTTGGTTAGTTTGTTTGTACTGTAGAATAACATTACCCATAAAAACAGCCTTTAATTTCAGGCACTATATCTTAGTTTTTTTTCAAATTATACTTCTGCATGTTCAGAAGATTGATTGCCTGTTTGTTACTACTTTGAATGATTGATTGGATCTGCTTGAATATATCTATGTACTTCTAGCCGTGGAGAAGATCAGCTTGCTATGTTTTACCACTAATTTAAAGAAATTAGTAATCATATCGGGGAAATTCTTTGAATGAAGTTAACCGATTCATATTTCCCAAGTGATTGTTAAATATAATTGTTGAAAATAATGCCACACTTATCAAAGTACAGTCAAGCATTGAAACATGGTAGTGCAAAACATTGTTAAAGACTGAAAATTAATCTTTCACCATTGTTCATTTGGTAAATCCACCGCTAAATTTGAAAGTGTGCTTGCTATACAGAAAAGAAACATCTGTGCTGAGTTAGCTGTTTTCAACCACAGTGGCAGTAAGGATGCTACAGTTAATTGCAATGCCCTTGGCTAGAGAGAAGAAAAACAGCCAGAGTTCCTGTTCCATTGTTAAGTGTTGGAAAGTATATGTGTGTAAGCGTGTATAT